TTAGCAAAGATATTTCTGTCTGAAGGGAAGTGGCTGATGTTTTGTGTGTGGCAGGTACCTTCTGGCACGGTATTTCCCTTCACAACTGCAGTGTTGGGGAGGGCGAGGGATGCTCCTCCTGTTTCTGGGAACTTCACAAACCTGCCTAGGGATGCAGTTGAACAGGCTTGGGAAAACCAGCTTGGAGTCACTGGTTTTTTGCTCTTCATGGTTTCAGTTCCTCTTTCCAAGAGTTGTTTTGTTTGAAGCACGGATTTCTGGTTAAAGGGAATACACGTGTCGGAGCCAACAGTTCTTTTTCTTTAGTCTCCCATTCTAACAAGTGTGGGGGAAAAAAAAGAAATGCAGTTGTTTTCCTCTGTGCCCAGTGTTTGCTGGTGGTTTTGGTCTGGCAGCCAAACCCAGAGCTGGGAGTCATTTGTGGGGCTCTGGTGAGTCACCGTGTGCGGCGTCTGGGCAGCTGGAGCTGTGCACGGCATTCCCAACGGAGCGTTGGCCGCCTCTTGTGCAACCGTATCGGTACTGTTCCAGGAAATGCATTGCCCAGTAGTCACTAAATAAACATAAAACTTTTCTTCAAGTCTGCTGGTGTGTTGAAATTGAGTCTCCTCAAAGAAAAACTACTGGTTTTGTTAAAATGTGACTCAAGAAGGGAGAGGGGCAGCTTGGCTAGCCCACGGGTCCGGGCTTGCCCGGAGATTGGGTTCAGATGCTCAGCCTGAAGCAACGCCTTGTGGTCAATATCCCCAGAGGTTTAATTTCTCCAGTACTCTGGGATCTTTCTCAAGCTTTGTACTAATAGGAGCCTGGAGCTCATAGCTCCATCCTTGTGCAGAATAGGAGAATACTTTGAAACCCAACAGCTCTTTCTCCTTCAGCTCTGGCTGGGTATTATCACAGTAAATAAGTATATAATGTCTGCGCATATATATATTTTTTTTTTTCTGTCTGAACCAGAAGAAACCCCTGGGCTGAGGCCAGGCGTTGCCTTGGTTATAAAGTACAAGACCACTGTCGCAGGAGTCGCGCCAACCTGGGTGGTTGCAGGGCTGGGAGCAGCCAGGAGGGAGAGCTGAGCGGCTCGGGGAGCACCAGTGGGTTTTCATAGAATCATTGAATATTTTGGGTGGGAAGGGACCCCTAGAGGTCGCCCAGCCCAACCCCCCTGCAGGAGCAGGGACACCTTGAACCACATCAGGTTGCTCACAGCCCCGTCCAACCTGGCCTTGAATGCTTCCAGGGATGGGGCCTCCACCCCCTCTCTGGGCAACCCCTGCTGGGGTTTTAATGCACTTAAGCTCTGGCCGGCTTTACCCTTCCTATCTGTGGCCTTCTGTTTTAGCCGGGAAGCGGCGTAGGGGCCTTGCTGGGTGCAAAATCCCTCCCTTTGGGTGAGGGCAGTGACTGCACAGAAAGAGGAGGAGGGGGTGGCTCACAGGTTTTTGTTGCCTGACTTGCACTGTACACCCTTCCCTAACCCAGACCTTGTCTAAATCACTGCACTTTACTCTGTTTTATGTGGATTCAGAGCGGTCGGTTTGCATTTATTTAACGTAACGCTAGCCTAGCGGCTACAGGCGCGTGGCGTAGCCCTTCCTTATGTAACAAGATTTGGGTGAAGTCCAAATCCTGACATGAGAAAGGGAAGTATGTTGGGCTGGAATAATGTTTTCTAATTCCAGTGTCATCAAGATGCCATCTCTCCAAACCAGCTTCTCCGATTCAGTGTTTTTCCCTAAACTAATTCATCCACCCAAAAAAAAAGTTACTGGAGTTCCCTAATGGCTTAAGGATGTTTAAGAGCAATTGTCAGCTTTTTTAAATATATTTTTTATTACTTTTTTCATTTGTCTTAGAAAGAAATATGAAATCTGCATGCAACCTTCTAAATACTTCAAACATTTAAATAGCATATGATAATTTAGCAGTACGGTACATTATACAGAAAGGTAATACAGGGAGACATCCTATAGTGTATTTACAAAGGAAAAGGTAGTTTTGTTATTTTAAAAAGAGGAATGCGCTGCTTAACATTGAAGTATTACATTCAAAATAATGAGTATGTTGTATGGTGACTAAAACATATTTATATGTATTTGTTTTCCCTATCATTTTTTTCATAAAAAGGTACCTTTTAAAGGCTTTTTTTTTTTTAAATTTTTGTTGTTGCTACAAATCTAGGGAATCATACACAATAGCTTAAAATGTCTCAGTACTGAAGCCACAAACTTTCTGTAAGAACTTCAGGTGGGGGGGGAAAAAAAAAACCACCAACAAAAAACCCAAAAAAACCCCCAAAACAACCCCAAAACACTTTCTTAGTAATAAAAAGGACCTAGAAATGCTTTCTAATGGATGAAATGTTAAGAGGGAGATGCGGTACGCTTCACCCCGCAGCAAGACCTCAAGTCCGTTGAGGAGGAGGTACGCGAGCGCCGTTCCCACTCGCCGGACGCCGGGCTGAGGGACCTCGCTTTGCCGCTGCCGCCGCGTGGCAGTGGCGTCTTCCCCAGCCAGCTCCTCTTTGGTCCCCGCTTTGCCCGGCCGTGGCGGAGGCTGCAAACGCGACGACCACCCCCAGCACCGAAGCTTCCCCGCTGCCAGAGGGCGAGGGCTGCAGCTGCGCGACACCTTTACAAACATTGCTGTTTGTCTAATGAGCTTATAAAGCTCGCTTGCGATCATCGTGAAGTATGAATGAGCAACAATAAAAGGAAAAAAAACCAAAAACCCCAACCCCCAAACCAACCTCTTGAAACTGAAAAGCAGGACTCTTCCCCATCGCAGTACGGAGCAGGCGGGTGTGAAAGCTGAAGTGCAACAGATGCTTGTGGAATCTGGAAGCCTTTTGCACGCGGCTATAAAATGTAAAAACTGACCCTTGGTAAAAAGTGCTTTATAATAATATAGAATTTGTGTCTTATGTCTGTGAGAGAGAGAGAGAATCTGCTGCAGAGCCCAGTCCTATGCCAGCTGAGGGAGTCCGCTCCGTTCCTCACGCCCCTTCCTCTTATTCTTCATAAACCCTGAACAGAAGGGAAGCCAAGAGCAAGATGTTTAAACTATGGACAAAAAAAACCCCTGCCTGCCAAATAATAATAAAAATTAACAATAAAAAAATAACCCCCCCAAACAACAAAAAAAACAGAACCCAATTTTTAGCCTTTAAGTAAATTGGAAAGTAAGTTATTGATTTCAATAGTCGCTGGATTACGATGCCTCAAGCGTCTGGGAGGGGAGGTTCAGGCTTTGATGCCGCTGCATCTTGCAGGTGTGCGGGGAGTAACGTGCCCTGCTGGGATCACCGGGAGACAGATGATGAAGAAATCTCCATCTGCTAATGTGCTTTAACCACTGGAAAAATCCCTGTCTCGCATATAAATGTTGATATGATGAGTTGTATGTAGATACGGTGAATTTATTATCTGTTATCTTTGGAATAATGTTATAGGCGGTATTATTTTTCTGGTTTACATCCCGAGAAGAGCACCTGCCAGGCTTGTTTGCTGAAAAATCCTTGCACTGCTGGGGAGCAGGCATGGAAGTGGTCATCTATGGCATGGGGAAAACTAGGGGCAATGCTGTTTTGGGGAAGAGATTCGTGTTTGGACTATATTTAAATGTAAATTCCATTTACATTTAAATTACCTGGCTTTTCCTGGGGGGAAAATCAGTGGGTTTGGTACAGCTGGCGCTGAAGGCACAGACAAATTGTTTGTTTATTATGAGGGCTTGGTTTAAATCAGGTTCTTTATGTCTGAAGTAATCACTTCCCACTTCTTCAGCTGCAGTTGGGCTCGGCTACCCTGCTTGCAGGGTCAGGACCTGCCGGGTGTGATGTGGGGGGGCTATGTGGCCAGTGCTGGGCAAGGCAAAGCAACTCTGGGTGCCAGAGGCGTGGGGATGCTGGGCTCGCCATCCCTCCTCCTCCTCTCCCTGGCAGCGGGGACAGTCCCCATCCCCTGGCTGGGCTGCGGGGAAGCCTCGAGCTGCCCCGTATTTTGGGCGATGGAGGAGCTGTTCCCTGCAGCCAGGAGCCAGTCTGCAGCACACGGCCCCTGGCCCCCGCAGCCTTGTGCAGGGCATCCCTCCCCTGGGTCTGTGCAGGGGAACCCTGCGCCTTTCCTGAATGCACAGGCCTGGGGCTGAGCGTCCTTCATCATCTCAGTGACAGCCTTACAACAGAGCAGCTCGCTGGCACCCTTGGACCTGCCCAGGGATGGGGGCTTGCTGCTCGTTGGCTTTGTTTGAGATCAATTTTGGGGAGCAAATTTCCCATCGGTTGCGGAGGGTGAGGGTTTGGTGGGACTGTGCTGCATGGGGAGGCTTTTCCTTGGCCATGGCTGGAGAGGTGGCAGGAGTTGGGCAGCTCCCCTTAATTACAGACAGGGACACCACCACTGGCCATCAACCGTCAGGTATTCGCGTTTCTCCCTCTCTCTTCTGTCTATGACTGATGGCTTGCAAAAAAAAAAAATCCTCTTTGCAAGGGAGAAGGTGGCAGAGATTCTTACCAGCAAGTTACTGTTTTTCTGGGAATGATACACTCCTTAAAACTGGCAAATACCTGCGTCATCAGAAATGGGTGACTTTGAGGCGGTGTGATTGAAGTGTGTGACGGGGCACTCCCTTCCCGGCTCTGCTGACTGCTTCCCTTGTGACCGTGTGGAAGTAATTTAGCTTTTCATCTTGGCTTTTTACCCGTAGAAGCGAGGTGAGTGTATGTAAATAGCCCAGAACATCAGCTGATGAATAGTTTAACAGAAAATAATTACTATTTATAGCCGCAACAGCCTAATCCTGAAATAGAAGTGAGGGCTGCATGTGGCAGGAAAGAAATAACATCAAGAACATCCATTTATAACTGTAATTTTGGTAATGAAATACATCCCCCGTGCTGGATGGAGCAGTCGCAGTGTGCGCGTTCCCCTGAACGCTGCCGATTGCCCAACTTGCCACCAGGATTTCCCCCCTCGCCCGCTGAGCAAATTCGTACTTACCTGCCTTTCTCCTTCCATACTCGGTACCACTTCAGCAGCCTCACTGTGTTCTGGCGTTTGGGGTTCAGGCAGTGCTGCTGCTCCCCCCTCACCCGCGTCCACAGCGTCACGCTGCAAGGCAAGCGAGCACAGGTTACGGCGGTCGGGGGAGATGCCGGTGGCGATGCCAGCCCTCGGCTCCTGCATCCAGGGAGATGCCAGGATCGGTCGGGGGCTCTCGCCCCGGCGGGCAGCGGGAAGGTTTGCATGCTCTGTGGGTTATAGCAGATATTTGAGTTTATTGCGATCACGTTGGAGCAGCTGCTGTCAATCAGTGCCGTGCAGTATTGCCCACAGTTATACTGGCTTGTACCAGATGAAGACTTGCCCACTGTTTTTAATCAGTGGCTTTGCTCTCCTGTCTGTTAGATATTTCCTTTGGAGCTTAATAGCTGATTTAATTAGGGTTCATTCAGGCAACCACAAGGTCTTTGCATGAGGAGATGCTTCCCTGACACTCAACCGGGCTGCATCCAAGTGAAAAGGTCAGACCTGGTTCATTGATTATTTTTTTCCCTGCTTTTTTTTGGTTTAATTTTTTTTTTTTTTTTTTGTCAGCAATATTTTAAATCCTTGCACGTGGCAGGGTCCCTGTGTGCCCAGTGGATTAGCTCTGAGCCCCAGGCAGGCAGTCCTGGGGGCTTCAGCCTCCTCGGATCGCAGGCTGCTCCCTCCCTCCTTGCCATCAGCAGCGGCTTGGCGTCCCCTTATTGTCCGGACAGGGTGTGCTGGGAGGCAGAGCATGGCAAAGGCCTTCCCGTCATTTTAGGCTTCCCCCGGAGAGCTTAGGGGAGCCGTTGCTGTTGCTCTGACACGGGAGACTGGAACTGCTTCCCTAGAGGATGGCTTTGCAGAAACGTCAAGGCTGCTATCGCCTCTCAGGACTCAAACCCAAGCAGATTTCCCTTTTGGTTATTAATTTTGTGATTAGAAAAAGAAAAAAAAAAAACCAACCCTCACAATTTTAATTGAAGTTATTAATTTTCTGGAAATACCATCCATAACAGGGAAACGCCGTTTCCAGTTTAAGTAAAATCCTATAATGGAATTATTTAAACACCGCTAGAGACACGAGTAAAACGATGGCAGAAACCCAGACATACCTGTGCATGCTGATGGGCTTCCTTTATGGTTTGGTTCAGAAAGGGGCTGTTTATCTTCTAACACGAGAAGCGGTGCCTTGCAGCCGCTCCCAGCTCAGCCGCCCGGTGCGGAGGGGACGTGCTGGGCTGGAAGCGAAACGCTGCATGTTGCCGGTGTGAGCCCAGCTAAGGGTCTCGCCATGTTTCCCATTCACAAGGGTGTTAAAATAGTTCCTTCCGTTCAATTAACCCTCTCTCCTGCTCCCCTTCTCTGTTCCACCTCCATCAGGTGTGAGCTGAAGTTGCAAAAAGACAAGGTGTGACTTTTGGGGGGGTTTCTGGGGGGATGCAGCCCTTTCCCCAGCGCGTGGGAAGGCGGTGGAAGGTCTCCAAGAGCCCTGGGGCTGCAGGCATCGGAGAGGGAAGGGTCACTGCTAAAACTATGGATCATCTCTGCTCCAAGGGCGTTCTCAGGAGCCCCTCTAGGTGAGAAGAGGAATTTTCTTATAGCTTTGAATGGGAGTGAAACCAAACCTCGGCTGGAGGCACAGGCTTGCGAATTTTAAGGGATTTGAGGTCAGTACAAAGTTTCTCCATCCAGCAGCCGCCCTCTCGGCTGTGCCGTCCGCACTGGCTGATGCCAGACCTGGGCTTGGATTTCTTTTCTGACAGACCATAAAGGGTACTTCCAGAAAGTGATGTACGAGCTGAATCGTGGGAGGAGCAGAGCAGGAGCACCTCTGGAAAAAAGCAAACCCTAAGTGTGCACCATGAGTGAAGGAGGACAATTTTGGATTTACTAGAGCCTGCAGTCTAAGGAGGAGATGCGTGGTTTGCTTCTCTGATGAACAAGCAGAGCTGATCTCAGGCTAAGGTGTGTTGCTTTGACACCACACACAGGTCTTCTGCTTTGCTGCTGGAGGCTGGACAGCAGAGGAGATGTTCCCAAGGCAGCCCCATGGCCCCGTGCCCCCCTGCACCTTGTCTGCAGGGGTGGTGGGGCTGCGCCTCTGCCTACAAACACCCTGTCCCCAGGGCCACGAGGGTCCTGGCTCTGGTCCGTTCATCCCAAGGTGGTGCAGGGTCTGCTGCCCGCCTTGGCTGTCCCTGGAGAAGGGCTCCCAGAGGCGCCTGTTCCCCATCAGCTGTTGTCACCCCACCACATCACCCCTCTTTGGGATGGGGCAATATGTGGAGGGGGGTTGGATCCTTTTGGGTAGAATGAGTTAAACCTCCCTCCTAATTTCTGCTGCTTTTCCTCTTTCTGGGAGGCAGATGCCCACACCATTACTGCTAGATCTTGATAGGTTTTGAAGAAACTGAGGACCCAGTTTGGCTGTCTCTTGCCTGTACCACAGCTCTGCTGGGGGGGGGGGGGGGGCAAAGACACGTTCCTTCCTAAACTGCACCCCCATACCTACTTCTTCTCTGCCAAACATCATTTATATCGTGTTTCTGCTGTATGAAAAGGTACAAGAGCTTTTGAGGAGGGCAGAAGGGGACCCAGCTTCAACAACTCGTTTTGGATGATCACTGCAGCACCAAACACCCAGTTGCAGGAATTTAGCCCTTCTGTGCCTTGCCTAGAGCCTCCCGGATCAGTTGGTTCTCAGAACATTGATTTCAGTTTGCTTTCAGTGCTGACTTCAGACGGTGTTAGGGTGGCTGGAAAGGCGGTGACGGCCGTGGGTTAGCCCTGCAGCGGCGATGGGAGAGCGAGGGGACAGCTCTGTCCCCACAGCCCCTGCACCCCCCGGGCTGGAATAGCATTGCTCGGCGCCCGCATAGCTATCCGGCTGGGAAAGCCACTGTGCGCCCTCCCAGCTTTCCCAACTTTCTGATTGGAAGTGAAATGTTGCATGAATGAGATTTGATACCCCCCGGCCACCAGTTGCTTTTGGGCAAATGCCCGGGGTGGGATGCGAAGAGTTAGTGCTCCTCTACACCATCGTTTTGCTACTGAAAGGTCAAAGCAAACAAAGTGAAGCTGCAAGGAACTGATTCAGGCAGGGATGCTCTGCAAGCGTTTTTCTGTTCAGGTCACCGTCCGCAGATCTGGGTGTCAAAGAGGTGTCTGATGTTCCCCGAGCTCGGCATTGCTCACAGCGATGCTGCTGTAAATCTGGAGGAAGCCTAAGGAAGCGTGGCTCTCCGTTCCTCCACCATACGCCCTCCGCCGAACCTGGCGAGCCATTTCTGCATGGGCAGGATCAGGCTCCCGTGGTATCTCCTTGTTTCTGCCAGTCGGATGGGCAGGATTTGGCCCCGTGGGCATGTCAGAGCACCGGAGGTGGTACGCGGCTTGGCAGGACGGGGCTCAGATCCTGCTGTTAAAGCACCTTTCTAAGATTAAGCAAATGGCAACTGTTCAGGGAGGGAGCACAAACGCTGGAGTAAATCCGTCCCTGGTGTTCGGGGGGCGTAGCTGCTTTTGGGGACCCTTTCCCCCCTTGCAGGTGGCAGAGGGGCTTGGCGCAGTCTTCTTGGCTGATCTGCCCCTCTGATCCTCATTCAGCCCCACATGCTGGTTGGATGGTGCTTTGATGGGGATATCCAAAATGGGGCAGACACCCCCTCCTTGCCCCCAACCACCCATATTTAAAATCTAAAAAAAAAAAAAACCCCAAAAAACCACCCCTCCTTTTGAGCCAGTCATCAGAGATGTCCAACCCCCTGTACCTGCCCCGGTTCGGTTTGTCACCGCATCACTGGGCGATGTCACGGCTTGTGGTGAGGCTGGGAGGAAAGCGTCTCCTCACGCGCCGGGGAACCCCATCGAATGCAAGGGGGTGGCTCTGCTACAACGCAGGCGAAAATCTGACTCTGGCTGGGGTAACGCTTCCCTGCAAAAACCACCGTGGCCCGAGCTCTGCTCGTGTTCTTATTCTGCACGCCCCAAATCACTCGAGTAAATAGTTCTGGATTTTACACCAGGCAGCCTGGAGTGGGATTTGTCCCTATCGCCACTTGAACTAATGATTCTCCTTTCATTGCTACTTGTGCTGTAAATATTTCTTTGAGTTTAAAAAAAAAAAAAAAAATGTTGAAAACCGATAGCTGGGTTTTTGGTCAGAATTGCAGGTTTTATTGCATCCGAGGCAGCAGATGACTACTCCCAGAAATTAGCATGCAAGGGCGTGAGAAAAACAAAGAACAAAGAAGGAACTTGCAGTGTAAGGTAAAGCCATTCAGCTGATAGGGAAGGAGAAAGCAATAAATGAGGGAAAACTTACATAATCATCTCTTCCACGCAAAACGGGTACCTCGGTTTGATTTCCAGTTTCCGCACGTTAGAGAATCTTATTTTAGGACCTTTCCTTGAACATTTGCACTTTACGCCTACGAGAGAAAGGATTTTTCTCATGTGCCTGCAAAGCCTCCTGCATACCAAGCGTCCCTTCCCCGCCAGCCGACGTGCGCACACAAACTCGTTTGGGCTCCCAAGCCTCCGTGGGAAAAGCTCAGTTTTGTAATGCTGTTGAGCTTAGAGTAATATTTTCTCTGCTATCTCCCAGGAAAAGGCAGTGGCTCTCTGGCAAATACGTTTTAGAGCGCTGTGTATGCTCTGAGGCTTAGTAAATAGTAAAGAGCTTTTTAAAGTGCACCTGCTGTGACTAAATGGAATTGTATTTAACAAAAGGAAACGAAAGAGTTGGAGCTCGCTTTAAACTGAGCAGGCGAACGAACACCTCGGCGACTTTCCCGTTCGCTCGCGTCTCTCTTGGACTTTGTAGGACTCCCAGTCATTTCTCCTCGCGCGGATGCCGCGGCGCCTTCGCGGCCAGACAAAAGCCGAGTGGTTTTTAACCATCGCTTTTGTGCACGGCAGAAAATGCCCACTGGCACACCCGGTGCGATTCGTGCTGCCGCATCACATCCAGCTCCGCTCTATTTTCCCTGTGCACCCCAGCCTGGCTTTCGGAGGAGGTATTTGAGCTATATTCCTGAATAACGCGGCGTGCCCCCCCGCGCCGTCAGCTGGGGCTCGCGATCAAGCCACAACTTTGTTGCTGCGGGTGTTTTACCTCCACTGCCACCTTCCAAACGCTCGCAGCTGCCGTACCCCGCGGGTACAAGGCATCGCTTTGTCCGGCGCGCAGGGGACAGCCAAGATCCAGCTCAAGGCTGGCAAGAGGCAAAGGAAAATCGCTGGGAAAGCAAGCCCCGGGAATAAGCGGAATGAACCGACTTACCTTCCGCGCTGGCGAAGCACATGGCGAGGAACAGCAGAAGCAAAGCTGCTGTCAGGAGCTTCATGGCGAGCCGGCGGGTACCCGCGGAGCGCCGGGGGTTTTA